TGGCATCTACATCTACTGCAAGGTGTGACCAAGGTTGCTCAGTCGTTATAGCGTCGTACTCAGAGTCGAAGATCTTGAATTCCAGCCCTGGTCGAATAACTCGCTTTTCTTTCTTCCATATTAAATAAATGAGTGCCATTCTGTAATAAGCAAGCAGGTGACTGCCGCTATGTTTGTCGCATGGCTGCTGTCGTCTTTGCCTTTAGGTATTGAACACTCCTGGCTGATGACATCCAAATTGACACTATTGATTTAACTTTTAACCACTATTAACTTCCTGAAAATGAGGGTGCCAAAAATGGTCCTATCAAGAAAGTGTAAGGAAGAGCAACGGTTTACTTTAGCGTATAGTTTTCTTCCGAAATAATCATGCTGATTTATCTATTTTGGAGTCTATATATGATAAAAGGCGAATTATTCGGCCGTGATATGAATTCAAGTTCTTTTGATACTGTGAAATTGACGTTCTCTCGATATTTAGTACCCTGAATAATGGAAAACTTCTGAACAATAATGTGCTTCTCGAGACATTTCCGTTTTAATTTGTTAAGGTTTCATCTGTGCCTTGTCTGTTTACTTAGCTGTTAGGCATCTGGACGCAAAATGGTTCTTGCAAGACGCATTCATAATTTTTTACTCGATTACGTTCCTTTGGTTGCAGAATCATCAGACTGCAGTACCATGCAATTTCGGCTTTTCACAGATCTGTTTTTTCTGCGGCTGACTTAAGTGATGCACCGCTGACGAACTTTAACTCAAGAAACTGTATTCTACTCTACAGCAGTTTAGTCCTTCTTCGTCTTTGTTTTTCAGCCCTTTTCTTCATCTGTCATTTCTCTTTATATTCTTTTCCTGATTTCTGTAATCATATTACATTCTTTCTTTTTTCTTGTTTTTTGTCTCTTGATTAAATTCTTCTTCATTTGCTCTACTTTCTTTTCCGTTCTTCTTTTATTTTCATTATTCCTGTAGTTCTGTTTCTTCTGTGATATTTCGTTTTTTTATCCTTATTGTTTATACTATTCTTTGTTTCATCATTTTCTTTCTTTCTTGGTATTTTCTTTTCTGTGACTAGTCTTTTCTTCGCCACTGATT